AGTGCGGACGAACCGGACATTGTCACACTATTCCAGTTTATGATGAGAGAGGCTGACCGTGCGTTAAGTCACGCCTATACGTCCGTAACGCCGACCAAGGAATCTCCCGTAAGACGAGAAGCGCCGGCGTCGAAAAGGATAGTGTTGACACGCCGTGTAGAGGATAGGGCTCGCGACGTAAAGACGTTCACCGCCCAGCAGGACACCGGTAGTGCCTCGTGTATGTGTTGTGGGGGTGAACACCCTATCGCCAAATGTAGGAAGCTGGCGCAAATGGGTTTGGACGACCGGTGGAAGTGGGTAAGGGAAGATGGGGTGTGTTTTAGGTACTTAAGCAGCAAACACCGACGACTACGTTGTAAAACTAGGAAGTGCGGCGTCGACGGCTGCAACGCCCCCCACCACGCCCTCCTTCACGCCCGCAAGGCCCGCACGCCTGAAGCGTCGGTAAAACCGAATGAAACCGTGCTCGTCGCGTCGAATGTTAATAGTAGTGCGTCTGTATTATTGAAAGTGTGCCCCATAACCGTGCGCGGACCGCGCGGCTAGGAAGTTGGTACGTATGCGCTACTTGACAAAGGCTCTACCATATCGTTGATCGACGACGACTTAGCTCGCGAGTTAGGAGCGGAAGGACCGGTAAAGCCGCTCACTATTAGAGGCGTAAATAATAATCAACGTGAGGCCAATAGTAGGTTAGTTAATATAGAGATACGTGGCAAGACGCGCAATGAGATTTATAATGTAAGCGCGCGAACGATAGCGGATTTAAATATAGGCTCGCAGTCTGTGAGTAGGGAGTGCTTACGGTTGAAGCACTTACGCGACTTACCGAGTTCGGTATGTTACGACGACGCGAAGCCGAGATTATTATTAGGCGCCGACAACTGGCATTTAATAATCACCCGTAATTTGAGAATAGGACGTCGAAGGCAGCCCATAGCTGTACGTACGTTGCTACGGTGGGTAATTCAGGGAACCGTGCCGCGGTTAACGTGTAGGGAAGACGGCGAGACCGTATTACACGTAGCAAGCACTAGCGGACGCCCAGATAGGGACATCCGAACGTTTGCCAGTCAGGACGAGGAGCTAACGGAACTCCTCAAACGGCAGTATGAGATAGATTCCATAGGTATCTCGCTAAAGAGTAGGCCGCGACGGGGATATTCTAGCGCACCGTCAAGAATGTCGGCGAGCAATACCAAGTTGGACTGCCATGGAATGACGACAACGTGCGGATGCCACCCAGCTATGAAATGGCAGCTCGAAGACTATGGACGATTGAAAGGAAGATGGACCAGTCGCCGGAGTTTCGGGACGCCTACACAGCCCAGATAGACAACCTCCTGGCGAAGGGATACGCAAGGGAAGCCGAAGGGACGGAGAGAGAGGATTCCAAGAGCTGGTACCTGCCACACTTCGCAGTGCGGAATCCGAACAAGCCGGGGAAGACGAGAGTAGTGTTCGACGCGGCAGCGCGCGCATCCGGTAGATGTCTTAATGACTATTTACTCGACGGCCCCGACTTATTACGGAACTTACCGGGCATACTGTTTAGGTTTAGAGAGAATGAGATAGCCGTGTCCGCGGATATTAGGGAAATGTTCTTACGTGTGAAAATCGACCGTCGCGACCAACCCGCGCAATTGTTCCTCTGGCGAGGAAACGAGCGACACAGCCCACCGCGGGAGTACGTTATGACGTCAATGATTTTCGGCGCGAGGAGCTCGCCGTTTCTCGCACATAGTGTTAGAGATTATAACGCGCGCGCACACGCAGAGACATACCCGTTGGCGCTTAACGCTATCGTACGTAGTCATTATAAGGACGACTATTTAGACAGCTATGCAACGGTAGAGGAAGCGGTAAACACGGCGAGGCAGGTTACGGAAGTACACCAGAAGGCCGGTTTCACCTTGGCAGGCTGGAATTCTAATCATGCAGCCCTATTGGAAGACAAGCCGGAGGAACTACTGGCGCGCAAGCCTAAGGAAGTAGGCTTAAGGCAAGATAGCCCAGGCAGAACCATAGGGTTGTTATGGATAGCCGACGAAGACGCCCTAACCTTCAACACATCGATGAATAGGGTGCCGCAGGAAGTAAAGGCACTACAGCGACCACCGACCAAGAGGGAAGCATTAAGCGCAGTCATGTCTGTGTTTGACCCGCTCGGACTGCTAAGCTACCTCACCATCACTGCCAAGATCCTGCTACAAGACCTATGGCGTATGAAGAAGGTCGGATGGGATGACGAACTACCCGAGGAGGCAGCGGATGAATTCCAGAGTTGGCTGCGAGTCGTCGAGGAGGTGTCACGACTGCGACTGCCAAGGTGCTATGCTCCTACGGGGGGAGTGGTAGAGCGTCAACTTCACATATTTAACGACGCAAGCGGACGTGCGTACGCATTCGCGGCATATTGGCGAATACGATACAGCGACGGAACGGTCAGGGTGCGATTAGTGGCGGCTAAGGCGAAAGTCGCTCAGATCAAGGCGCAAAGAATACCGCGATTAGAGTTGCAGGCGAATTTAATAGGCGCGCGACTCGCGGAATTCGTGCAAGGCGAGCACAGAGTGGTAGCAGATAGGGTCGTATATTGGACGGAGTCTACTACGGCGCTCCACTGGATACAAAATGATACGGCGCGTTACACTCCATACGTGGCTCATCGGTTAGGGGAGATAGCTGAAAAGACATCACCCGAGCAATGGAGGTGGATACCGACTGCTGAGAACATAGCAGATCAGGCAACGCGCATGAATTTGGTAACCAAAGAAGAAAGCGATAAATGGTTCACAGTACCGTCATTCCTTTACGTGGACGAAGACAGATGGCCTCGTCGACAGGAAGAGAAGGCAGGGGATGATGAAGAGTTGGAGGAAATCGTGGCACACCAGAGCGACACCAATGACGCTCCACACCTGCCAGACATAGAACGATTCTCTTCCTACGAGAGACTGATCAGGACCAGGGGCGGAGTGCTGCGGCGACCCGTCAGGAAGATAGCCGTCCTCCCGAAGGAAGCTTAGGCTCGCAGGCTACGCCGGGGGGAAGATGTTACGGACGGCGAAGGGAACCGCCACCCCGTCGCCCCTTCATACCCCGTTGCGCCCCGCGCACCCCGCATACCGGCAGCAGATCACGCGATGTCACCGACCAATCAGCGCGCGGCATCGCCTCACGACGCTACTCACATACTGAGACGCTCTCTTGCGGGATATAAGAAGGGCGTTTTGGTCTGTGAGGCGTTCATTTCAGAAGCGGCACTCGAAGACAACAAGAGAAGAAACCTCAAGAGAAACCATCAAGAGAGAAGAATTTATACTCCATTGAAGACTCCCCTCTGTGTTTTTTTTTATAGGAGAGGGTGACAAACGAGCACACAGTCCACCTGATGGTAAGTGGTTACTGTGACCCATAGACATCTACATCTATCCTCAATAAAGTGTCAAGATGCAGATGCGTTGTCACCCGTGAGGACTAAGTTGGAATGCCTCTTCGCCAGTAAAAAGGGTCTCCGGTTCTCTACACTCACCATACGAAACACAGCAGCGTTAAGCTGCTATTTTACGCTGGTTTTCTGTGAGAGCGTGGTCCTTCCCCGGTCGAGCCGACCCATTCGTGCTACAACTATAGTACTAATATAGCTGCAGCATGGCTCTACCACGTATAGAAAATGTGTGTATAGTTAATTAGTGAAAGCCGCATTTGTAAATAGTTTAATACAGTATAGTTCTACAGTACCATCTTTTCTTTAAGCAGTCCCTAGTGTAATCAGTCAATCATACAGTCCACTTGCAATAGTAAATTCATACAGTCCACTTCAATCCCTTATAATAAACTACTCTAACTCTCAAACTATTGGTCTGACCTTGATCAAAGTCATATGGGACCACACGAGAAGTATCAGCTTTAAAATAAAAATAATAATTATCGAAATCGGTTCACCCAGTAAAAAGTTATGAGGTAACACACATAAAAAAAACATACAGTCGAATTGAGTACCGTCTCCTTTTTGGAAGTCGGCAGAAAAGTTATTAATTTTTAGTGTTACATGTTGACAAAAGAACGAACGCTCCAATCTTAACATATAAATGTGTCTGTCTGTAATAGCGTAATACCAAACTGCCTTTTATTGAGATTGGCTTATTTGCATACTAATAAGTAATAAACAACTTAAATATATTGAAATTTTATCGGTATTTCTGTCTGTCTGTCTGTCCGGGCTAATCTTTGCGACTACAATCAGTGCGATTTTGTAGCTCTGTTAGAAATCGTTTGCCGATTGGAATCACTTCGCAAATAGGGTTACCAGGGCCCGGAATTAGTGATTCGGTTGCAGGTGGTAATAAATCCTGATTTTAGGAAAATAGTCCGGTCTTGAGCCAGCAACATAATATATTTTGACAGCATAGATATTGCAGCAGCATATTTTGATAGTGATTTAATTGAAAAATTCTTCTAATGTGTTTGAAGTTTCATTCTCTCTCTCGCGCGACGTGTATACCTATAAGTACAGTTTGCGTGGTAAAGAACCGGACGTAAGTTGTGTCCGGTCTTGGCTCTTAAAATCCGATCAAGACCTAATTTATCTGGTTCGATGGTAACCCTAATCGCAACTGCATTATGTTTTTTTAATAAAACAACCTAACGAAACGTGGCTAATAATCGATACTTAATACATTTACACAATGTAACGAAATACGAAACCAAACGTCACAAACGAAGCCGAAAACGATTTCCACCAGAATTACACAAATGCACTACTAGCACAGTTTAAAGCTCTCTTTAATCTGTACTGCTAGTTTGTGTTTCATAGAATAGAATAGAATAATTTCTATTCAATATAGATTACGTGAATACATATTGAAAGTCATTTAAGCTTTATCATTGGTTTAGAAAAAAATCTCTATCTTGGGAAGGATCAGCGGGACCTTTTTTTAAACATTAATTTACAATATAACGTTTTATACTCGTACAATTAATTATGTGTGTACCTTCGGAAACGTAGAATTGTGTAGCGGTCCAAAAGTCCTTGGCTAGTTCTCCATCGGTTGATGGTGCGGTCCACTTCACCAGTTTCTTTTCTGGATTTACGAATGGCGGATATTCGAATCCTTCAACCGGTATCTGAGCACAATTAAAAAACAACAAATAAAATCCAATACTTTATGATTACTTGCGATTGTCGCCACTTGGTGAAACTCTATCTTCATTTATATAGGATTGATACATATTTTTATATATATATACCACATTATAATACTCTATCCTCTTACATATTTCTGCCGCCAAAAAACAAGGCGTGCACTAGCTACACAGGCTGTGAGGCTTTCATCGTAGTTTTCAGTGATGACAATGCATCTTCTTTATTAGAAGTTCGTTGTAGGTAACCATGGGCTGGGGTAGCCACTCACCGCCATCGTTTGGACCGTATATAAGTAATTTAAGTATAGTTAACATATGTCTCGTAACAAACTTGAAAGTGTCGACGATTACACTTTGTAGTTCCGCTGGTGGATTCCGCGGTTATCTTATGTTTAATTTTTTCGTTTAATAGTTTTCTAGAAATTTCCTGACATAACTCATTCGGTCTTCGACCCTCGGGTGAATACAATTCAAATAAATTAGATAAACGTTGTCGCTGCAGCGTGACGACAGCATTAAATTGACCGTTCGTGACCACAAGGAAGACTTTATAATCTGATAATAACATTAGGTATACATTTTGTTCAGATTGTGCAATGAAGAAAATTACTGGAAACATGAAACATCTCGTGATTTTTTTATAAAAATATGCTTTTAAACTTTCCACTGCAAACATTTTGAATTTATGATGTTACTAAAGTATAATTTAACATTGGCGGGAGAGATTTTATTAATCAGGGAAATCACAAAGTAAAGTTATTAAAATTAGTTAACGAAATGTGAAATTAGTTTTAAATTTTTATAGTTCTCTTGTGTATTATGTGTTATTAGTTTTTACGTGGTAGAGCCACGCTGCAGCTATGGATGTAGCAAGAATGCGTCGGCTTGACCGGGGGAAGGACCACGCAGTCACAGAATACCAGCGTAAAATAGCAACTCATGCAAACTCAGTGTTTCGTATGGTGAGTGTAGAGAATCGGAGATGTCTTTTTACTGGAAACATGGCATTCTATCTTAGTCCTCTGGGGTGGAAACCCATCTACATTTTCATTCTTAATCGAGGATAGATATAGATGTCTATGGCCCACAGTATCCACTTACCATCAGGTGGGCTGGTTCCTCGTTTGTCACCCTTATCTATATATTAAAAAAATAAGATTAAATTAAAGATAAACAGTTAATGATCGTATATGTTTTGCGAGATCTGAAAAATTTGAAGTTAATCTCGAGTGCAGTGTATGAATTTTTAATTATAAGTGTGAGCTAGATTCTATCCAGGTGAAGCCGGGGCGGGTCGCTAGTCTATAATAAAATTTTATAGGTTACAGTAACTTACAGCAACTTGTAGACCAGCTATGAAGCCAGCGGTGTCATATAGCGGGCACACGTTTCGTCCGACCGAACAGTACATCCTGAGTTCGGGCAGTGGTCCGGGAGGTCGTTCCGTCCGCCGCCAACCCTTGCTCACGGCATCACTAACCGTACGCGGGATGCTGAAGAAGTATTCCTTGTCGGCCAGTGCGTCTGACCAACCGAATTTTACTGAAAGAAATAATATAAGTTTTTTTTTTAAGTTATAAGCTAGTGCTTGAATGCAATCCCACCTAGTGGTAACTGGATGATAAATTAAATTACCTTAGTGTAACAAAAGCCTATTCACTCGTGCCTTGAAATTGTAATCAGACGAAAGGAAATTATTTCTCTCTCATCATTATTACACCCTATCAAAGTCTATTGCTAAACATAGGCCTCCCCATAGATTGCCTAAGTGGAATATTTGTCATAGTTGTCACACTTGGCAGGCGGGTTGGTTACCCCGGGCTTGTATTTTCTAATTGTTATGTTACAAAAAAAATCGCGCGGTGAAATATTGCTTTAGGCTCTGTCCGCACTGCAATATTTCACCGCGAGATATTTTTATCGCAATTCTGTAACACATTTAATCTTATAGGAGTAGCCGCACTGGTGGTTAAAAATTCACGCGGAAAAAAACTGTGATTTGATGCAAATTGAACGCGATGCGGTGCGGATTTATTTCCGCGCGAATGTTTTGTACAATATAAAGTAGTTATTGTTATGGCCACACTACGAAATAAAATTCGCGCGATTCGCTCAGTCGTGCACCGGCGCAAGTAAATTAACGAAAAATTTTATAGTCATTCTGTAATATACGAAAAACTTTTTATTGTATTTTCACAGCTCTTGATGTTTTATGTAGAAAAATTCTTTCATAGGTCTCAAGGCCGTAATTGCGTGAATCCAATGTATATGACATCTTTTGATTCCTGTTACGCCGCTGCCGCAATATCAAGTAAATATTTTTTATTCTGTTGTCCATTTTTAGACGTTCCTCTCAGCCGGGAACTTCGTCTTACTGACATAAATTTTATTTGCAGTGTGTACTATGTGTTATTCCGATTACGGAATATAATGACCGAGAATAAAAATCGAGCGGGGAAATATCACAGTACGGGGAGGGCCCTAAAAAGACACCGCTGCTAATCTCGTGGTTTGTTTCCATCTATCGCTTCTTTCGGCACATACGGGGACAATACGGGGTAGTGGATATTCTTACACCGCTACTACAGGGTCAATTTATTACATAAATTTACAATAACTTGTGTTCATTTTCATCAGGTAGTAAAAGTTTCGGCACGAGTGGCAGGCAAATTGACGATCACAGCAGATATTTCGCAACTTTGACTGTGCTAGGCGTTGTTGGTTTAAGAATTTTACGTGTGGCGTAAAGGAAATCATATAACGCCATCTATCGGACGATTTAAGATCTTTTGTAGTTGCCACTTACGATACCTACGGGACAAAATGGGGTGAACGTTTATCTTATGTCGCCACCACATGGCGTGTGCTATAATTATATAGTCGCAAATAGCTGTAAATCAAAGATGTTTTTGGCGAATTAAGTGTTACGTCAAGAAAATATACATAATAGATTAATCAAAGAATATTGTTGTCCTTCCGATATACCCATCTCTTTTACGTTAGACGTTAAAATAGCCACAGGCGACGGGCTTGTGACGTTTGGTGACGTTTGGTACTGCGATTATTATAATCTGTCTGACCTCTATACAACGGGAGATATATATCTATATCTGTGACCCAATGTCTTGCAGCAGAATTATACAGGCTGATAAGAAAAAGGAAAGACTTTTTTTATACGAGTAGGATAAGGGTGACAAACGAACACACAGTCCACTCTATGGTATTTTCTGTGGGCCAAAGATATCTACATCTATTCTCAACTACGAATTAAAAAGCAGATGCGTTGTCACCCATGAGGACTAAGATGGAATGCCTCATTTCCAGTAAAATGGGTCTCCGGTTCTCTACACTCACCATACGAAAAACAGAAGCGTACAGCTGCTATTTTACACTGGTATTCTGTGAGAGCGCGGACATTGCATTTAATGTCCTTTATCATAGAATATAATAGAACAATTTTAATTCAATATAGATTGCAAGTACATTTAATGATTTTGCCACTGGGGGGGAAAAAACCTCTGTCTTGGGTAGAAACTCAGTGGGATTAACTACAAAGATACATTTAATTAAACAACATAATGGTAGAAAATAGGTTCACTTATCCTCACCTGTCTATGATTAATGTAATAATTTTTTTTTTAAATAATCCATCAATTTTCAGGCATAGATTTTTATGTAAGGTCTAGCTGAACCTCGCGGTGTCACCCGCGTATTATTTAGAGAATTACTGATTAACTAGTTGATTTATAGTATTTCAGTATAATTCAATATTTCCATATTTGTATACCTTTTTACAACCGTTTTATAACCTTTTCATTTGGTATTAAAATAAATTGGTTTTCCCCGCATTTTGTTCTAAATAAGCCAACATAAATACAATAGCAAGGTAGTTTATGTTATCGCCTGGAAGTTTGGCCATTATTTTATCATTAATGGCGTCAACGCTTGTATTTTTGACAGCTAAAATTTCCCTTTCACATATCCATTGATAATTTGTTTGGTTTATATTAGCGACATCCGAGTATACTCTAGAGATTAGGTCTTCAGTGATGGTTACTATTTCACCAAGGTCTTTATCAATGGATATTTTGTTTGGTTCATTCAGGTACTTTCCCATTACCAATCAATAACAGCTTTTTAGGAAATCTGTGTTTCCTCCACCCAAGTGATTCCTCATGTTGGGATACAGCTTCAAGAATTCAACAGATTTCCACAAAGGGGAAGATTTTAAACAAGATTTAGTAATATCTGCTCCAGTTCTCCTAACTATTACAGGCAATGAAAACAAAAGTAATTCTACCCATAACTTTATTTGTGCTTCTTATGTCTCCGAGAGTTCTGTCTAATGCCTTTACGTGAGCTCTATGCGTCATGGTGCACTCATCCCATATTATTAGACTGGCATCTTGCATAATTTTACCCAACGGGACATTTTCACGGATAGAACACACACTGTCTCATACAATGGAATATTTCCACTGTTCCTGTCATATTAAAATCTTTTGAATTGAAAATTCCTTGATTTTAAAAATCGAATACCATTTATTTATTTAAAAAAAGATTCTCGGTCTTGTCACAAGGTTTTGTCAAACTTGTTTAATCGTTGCGAAAATGGAATTGACTCGAGAAAATTCAAGAGCGATGATATATTATGACTTTCGAAGTGGTTTAACACAAAAACAGTGTGTTGACCGGATGATTTCTGCATTTGGTGATTAAGCCCCATCCAAGACCACAATTTATCGCTGGCTTGCTGAATTTCAACGTGGACGTGTCAAGCTCAGTGATGATTCCCGTCAAGGTCGTCCAAAAACTGCAGTCACCCAAGAAAACTTTGATGCTGTACGTAAGCTGATTGAGGAAGATCGACATGTGACATACCGCGAAATTCAGGCAACTTTAGACATTGGCATGAGTCAAATACAAATAATCTTGCATGAACAATTAGGTGTAAAAAAGTTGGTTTCCCGATGGATACCGCATTCGCTCTGTGAAGAGCAAAAAGCGGCTCGCGTTACTTGGTGCGTCAGAACTTTCGAAAGATTCCACGCAGGATCCTCAAATGCTGTACATACAACATCGTATCAGGTGACGAATCCTGGATATACGCGTACGAACCCGAAACAAAAAACCTGTCACGAGTTTGGGTGTTCGAAAATGAGTCAAAGCCAACAAAAATTGTTCGTTCACGGAGTGTTGCAAAAAAAATGGTGGCCACGTTTGTCTCCAAAACCGGCCATGTTACGACTATTGCTCTTGAGAGACAAAAACGGTTAATGCAGAATGGTATGCTAGCATTTGTTTGCCACAGGTCGTTTCTGAACTCCGTAAAGAGAACTGCAACCACCGCATCATCCTCCATCACGACAATACGAGTTCTCACACCGCACACAGAACAAAAGAGTTTTTAGAGCAAGAAAACATAGAATTATTAGACCATTCGCCGTACAGCCCCGACCTAAGCCCTAATGATTTCTATACTTTCCCTAAAATAAAGAATAAATTGCATGGACAGAGATTTTCATCACCTGAAGAAGCTGTGGACGCCTACAAAACGGCCATTTTGGAGACCCCAAATTCCGAATGGAATGGTTGCTGCAATGATTGGTTCCATCGTATGGCAAAATGTGTCAAATTTCGCGGAGAATACTTCGAAAAACAATAAATACATTTTTAAATAGTAATGTTGTGTCACTTCCTTGATTCCCGAAATTTTCAGTGCCCTCGTAGTGTGGCAGCAATACCTGACGACGCAACGGCGATAGCAATTTTTCCCTGTGACCTAAGCGGTCGTTCGCGCTCCGAGCAGTATTCATTATTTTAATTTTTATTATCTCTTAAACCATGCGTCCAAGTAACATGCTATAAAGAGCAAAGTTTATTTTCATAAAATTGTCTTGATGATGAAGTAACTTTCGTTCGTAAGGATTAATATGCCATGCTTAATACGAGTAATAACGCTCACAAATCACTTTTTAGTTTTCAATTACTTTTTTCACAAAATACATTATTGTGGCTTATGTATAAGAACTAGGCATATGGTATCACAGACTTTTTTTAGATGGAGTAAAGACCAATATTTTTGTAGAACATTGTATTTATGTAATACTAAACGTTACGCCAGCGCACGCGGATAAAGCATTTATACACCGCCTTTTCTTCAGACTTGCTTAAAAAATCAATATTTAAGGCTAGCTGAGAGTTATAGGCTAATGCTAGATAGCCTATACTATTCCTCATGAATCTGACTAAATAATTATTCAAATCGGACAGATAGTTCCAGAGATTAGCGCGTTTAAACAATCAAAAAATCTCTTCCGCTTTATTATTAGTATTAGTATGGATAGTAGAGATATGTAGGTGACAAGTTTCAAGTTTCACAAAGCTAAAAAGATAAAAACGACACAGGTCTTCTTGCATAAAATCAATACCAGCCATAGGGCTTCATAGTTGCCTATTTTTGTACAAAAAAGTTTAACTCGCTAAAAAGGATAACTCGTAACGTTGCCATTTCGACAAATGAGCAAATCAAATTAAACCAGTTAGGTTTGAGCATCGTATTCTTTTTAGTTTTTTTTTTCATAATATTTTTTTAATACTGGCTGAAGCAGTCGTGGTTTTCAATTTTATTTAATGTTTATAAAAAAATTAATAAATAAGTTATTAACATAATCTAACAAAATTATATATTATATTTTTATTTTGGTGAAACTATATAGTCGTTGGTAAGCAATTTTAGTGGCCTAGTAAAAACTGATTTGGTGTGGTTAACTAGAATGTGTGAATGTTGCATTGCTGCGTGTTTGCATGCGAGCGCATGTATCATTAATTAATAAAAGAAAGTAAATTCTTAAAAAACTTACCTCGGAGACCATCATATTGAATACCTGAAATAAAGACGATTATAAAATTAGTATTTTTAATCAGAATTCGTCAGAATTACATAATTATTTAGTTATATCGGATATATATCAATAGTACTTCATGTATGCACGTATACAACGCGCGAATTTGATCCTATAAGTGGAAATAATGTGTTAAAATGTTTTAGGGTGCATATTTTACTTTAATGAATAAGGTTCACAAACAGAAAGTAGTTATGTTATACATTTCTAAATAAATTTTAGAACTGTTTGATATATGGCCTGCGGTAGCCATATCCATCAGATAGACTGTTAGCTCGTTTGTCACTTTAATATATTATAAAGATGGGTACTGATACCCTTATATACCCTCGATAATTATCATTACATAACAATTTGTTGACCTTGATCCTCTCGTATAATTCGTAACGTTTACGGATCAGAAAACAATGGACAGTTCGTTAGACCAAATCGTTCAATAAGTGTAGTCGAGCGTGGTCCCTCCAACTACCGATCAAATTGAATAATCCGGTGCGTAAACAAGCGCACAGAGCTTAAAGGCGATGTTACACTATACGGCTGATGATTCAGAGCAAAAAAATTACGGCATCCTTTATTTAATACATGTGACATGTGGCGCTGAAAATGGCAATAATTTTGTTCTGTGTGTGCCATAAAAGTAAAAAGGCTGTTGCCCGGAAAATCTTGTAGCATTTAGCAGATTATGTACTAAACGTCTCATATCATCAAATCTTAAATGTCAAAGTAGATAGTCAAAAGTGTGCGTCTTATGTACTGTCAAAAATATACCGATACGGTCGTAAGTATTACCAAAGGCTGATTACGAAATGATCGTGTCATAGTTATTTCTAAATGCCTTTTTAATTATTGTAGTCACATAGTCCACCTGATGGTAAGTGTATGTAGATACCTTATTATTAAATTAATTAACCAAACTACGTAGAATTACCAACCCTGAATTCTATTAATATGGAATGCCTCGTTATCGTTACCTGTAAAATGAAAATATGTGCCTATACTGTAAAAGTACAAATATAAAAATATATTTGGACAAATGTGAAAAATGCTTAAAGTAACTGCTTAATGAGTGCATCCACGACTTTTAACGTTTTTAAAAACAAAAAAAAATTTGTTCGGAAAACGTAAAGGTTAATGTTTCTTTATGTACTATCAGCTATATTTTATATTGATAATATTAAAAATAAATAACTAAAACTAAACTAAATAAATACATAATAGATAAAATTAGAAAAACAAAAGTAGAAAATTTGAAAAAAAGTTAAAAATGTGCATAAAATTAAAGAGTAAACCACTGAGTACTCTAGAAATTGTTAAACTTATTAAAAACTAACTTCTCAATTAAATGCCAATGTGTAACAAAAAACTTTACCTCAGTGTCACCTAACGACATCTGGTGAGCAGAAAATTATTAGCCATCATTATTATTAAATAATTATAAAACATTATTATTTTGTCCTGCGGGTGAGCTGCAAATTCACTTCGAGACCATTGGGCACTTCGCGGTTAAGCACTTACACAATTGTCAAAATATACTTATTGATGCAACATAGTCATTTTGTCACGTTAGCATACTATCAGTTCACAAGATTTTGCTTAACCGAAGACGGAAAGTAACTATATGCAAAATGACATTATATATAGGTAAAGACATTTAAGTAGTTAGTATACTATATATTTAAACCTCTTTGTATGTAGGTAACTTCTTTAATTGTAATAATGACATATTATGATACTAATGATGGTGTTGAAATTATTCAAGCCGATATTGTCCGCTGTTACAATGTAGGAATACAATCAGATGTTTTATTCTTATACTTACTGTATGTAATTTGTAGTTTTACGTGGATAGAGCCATGTTGCAGCTATATTACTGGTATAGTTGTAGCACGAATGGTTCGGCTCGACCAGGGAAGGGCCACGCTCTCACAGAATACCGGCGTAAAATATCAGCTTAACGCTGATGTGTATCGTGTGGTGAGTGTAGAGAACCGGAGACTCTTTTTACTGGAAACGAGGCGTTCCACCTTAGTCATCACGGGTTACGACGCATCTGAATTTTGATACTTTATTGAGGATAAATGTAGATGTCTATGGGCCACAGCAATCACTTACCATTAGGTGGACTGTGTGCTCGTTTGTCAACTTTATCCCACAAAAAATAAAAGGTTAGTTATTGTGAAGTTAGTAGGATATACCTAAGCATTGTTTTAATTGGATAAACATACATTCTCTCAATGCTGGGCACACACTCGTTTTTAAGAAGGTCTGTGATTAATTATAATTTATGGCTATATATTACTGTCACTATAATGTATCAGGCACATTGATATACAAAAAATGTATATCAATGATCAAGTAACAAGAAAGTTATCGCAATTAATTTTCGATTTACAGTTTTTATAAATGACTATCGATCCGCCCCGGCTTCGCACGGGTAATTTCTGGATCTCGACAACAGCGCCACCTACCGGGTCCAATTGTGAATCAAAACCATGCAGGGACCGAGTTCCGACCGAGATCGAGAAAATAGTTCGAGTCGTTTTCGAGTTTTAGGCCGGCCACATACATTCGGAATTCGAACGCACCAAACCATCACACACGTACAGTAGTTTTCCGTTAGAAATTTTGTGTGAAAAACGGAATTCGGAATTTCGAAACGGAGTCCCGAAACCGAATTCCGAATGTATGTGGCCGGCCTTAGCGAGACTAACGGACAGTAATTGATTTTTATCTAAAGTGATTATTTAATAACTCGTTTAATGTGTCGTTTAAAAACAATTTATTTAAACAAAAGACAATTATAAAATAATTTCATTACAACACTGAAGCGGCCTTTTATATAAAATATCTTCTATGTAATTGCATAATATATTGGACGCTGAATTAATGAGATAAGGTCTTTCATTCATTAATTTCATTCCTTACACCCTACCAAAAGCCCACCGCAGAACATAGGCTTCCCCCAATGATTGCCTCATAGAGCAATACTTGTCATAGTTGTCAGGCTTAGCAGGCAGGTTGGCAACATTTTTTAATATTGTTGTTATACGTGGTAGAGCCATGCTGCAGCTATATTAGTAGTATAGTTGTAGCACGAATGGGTCGGCTTGACCGAGGAAGGACCACGCTCTCGCAGAATACCAGCGTAAAATAGCAGCTTAACATTGCTGTGTTTCGTATGGTGAGTGTAGAGAACCGGAGACCCTTTTTAATGGAACCGAGGCATACCATCTTAATCCGCATTAGTGATGACGCATCTGCATTTTGATTTGTAATCGAGGATAGATATAGATGTCTATGGGCCACAGCAACCACTTACCATCAGGTGGACTGTGTGCTCGTTTGTCACCCTTATCCTATAAAAAAAAAAATTGACTTGTTATAAGGAAGATGCTACTGCCTATTTTTAGCTTAACTTGCTTTAAGTCGGCTCATACGACGCATATGGGATAATATGACGTAGTGAATCCCCTTACTTCACCACTATACTCACGGCTTAGTATTAGATCAGCTATTTCTACTTAATGTTAATATGACGTAAGAACCTCCGCTACCCCAAATAGTCCCGTTAGTGTTATAAGAGGTGACAGAGGGAACACATGAACGACAAATAAGGAGATGGGCTTTGAATAAAAAAAATTACGGTTGCTAACCCTACCAAGCATAGCAACTGTAGCAAATAATCTATGGGGGAGGCCGATGTTCAACAGTGAATTTTTTATAGGCTGTAAACGATAACGACTGTTTTATTTAATTCTATATAAATCGCTTTTTATTCACTACTGGATATAGGCCTTTGCAATAATAGTAAATGGCCGGTAACTTGCAAAATTAGTTTGCACATATTCACGCTGAAAAGGGGAATTACTGAGCGTAGAGCTGATACCCCTGCACAAGTATATTCTACTCTCCTTTTTGAATTCGGGCGCCAAACAAGCACACAATCCACCTGATTATAAGTGGATGCTGTGGCTCATCCATCAGACATCTACATCTATCCTCAAATAAGAATGAAAATGCAGATGCGTTGTCACACGTGAGGACTAAGATGGAATGCCTCGTGTCCAGTAAAAAGGGTCTTCGGTTCTCTACACTCACCATACGAAACACGGCAGCATTAAGCTGCTATTTTACGCTTGTATTTTGTGAGAGGGTGGCCCTTCCCCGGTCCATTCGTGCTAGAACCATAATATAACTACAGCATAGCTCTACAACGTAATTCACCATCACCAGTGTAAGGAAATCCGACTATTTTTACTAGGTGAAGTTACTCCCTTTCTGTATATGAGTCCCTTTAAGCAGGTACCGCCATCAAATAATAGTGCTTGCACTGTTATGTTCCGGTTTGATGGGAATAGAGAAATATTTTAACAATACACCTACCATCAAACAATATAAGGGAAACCTGTTATTGGCCATACTTTTAGTTTGTTACATTAATGTTAATATTTTCTATATACGCTGTTGGTTTTCTAAATAAATAAATAAATAAATTTTAATTACGAGAACTACTCGTAGTTGCGACCAATTCCATCTTAATCCTCACAGAGCACAACGCATCTGTAGGCATCTTTGTTTGAAGTTGACTGCTGATGTCCGTTGACTGCAATAGCCACTTACCACAGAACACAATTACTCTCTACCAAGAGAGAGCCACTTACTATCAGGTGAACTGAAGTTCGTTTGTCACTTAATTAAAAAAAAATAATTGTCAAATTTAATTTATAAGAAAAATACATGACAATTCTCCCCTGTTCTCATATTTATTTATTTTTACCAAAGAGATTTAAAATATATATATATACTACTACTACTTAAATGTCTTTGATTTTCACAAAATATAATATAATATAATATATATATAATTGTTATTTAGTAACATCCGACGGTACAAATAAACATTACATAAGTTTCTCCCTGCACCGCCGATTTTTTAACTTCGATCATGTTCAACCATATATTTTATTATGTAAGAAAAACATATGATAACAACGGAGAACAGTCATCTATGATCTGATTTTTGGAAAAGTTACATGTTCCCTTACACTCCCTTTAGTAAGACAGCACTTAAATTGCGATTAAAATGTCCGAACGCTGAGCATTCAACTCTAGGTGAGCGCGCGAACACTGACCTACCATAATTCGTTTGATAATTTCGATAAAATTGTTTAGTTTACAGCTTAGAATATATAAATGTCATAATATAATCTAAAAGTATTAGAAACACAGAAACAGCTCATATTATCTCGATTGAAACTTTGTTAGTAATCGAATAATTTGTTATCAAGCACTTTTTTAGCACACACGGTATCTGGGGATGTAGCTCAGTGGTAGAGCGTTCGCTTTGCATGTGAAAGGCCCCGGGTTCGATCCCCGGCATCTCCAATTTTTGTATCTACAAACTCTAAATTGTATTGTAAACAATACACAAGTACGTTTTGTTACAACGAAAAATGTTTCGTGATTTTTTATGTAACTTTTTGTGTACCAATTTTATGGCAATGATTTTAATTCGTTATTTGACATAAGAATGGCGCGACCGACAAATCCTTACAGTTTATTAATCAAATAACTATTAGTTAACAATTAATAACTATTAACCACACGACGAAAATTTTTTGAAAACTTTTTATATTACAATTATAATATAATAATATTTTTTTTTATTTATTTATTAAAAGAAACTTACAGCTTTTATATCACATTTGAATGTAAGATGAATGTTAACAATACATTAGCCAAAACAGTTTCCAACGTTAAGATTTACATTGCGAAAACTTTAAACATAATTAAATGAAGTACATATTTCTGTTTTGCCAAAGAGAAAAATATAATTACTGCATACGTAATACCAATGTTAGTAAAGGTAATTTTATATTCAGATAGAGAACAAGAAGTACAAACACTACCTAAGCGTGATCAACTTGTCTAATAGATGTAACATAACTATTTAATTTGCAGTTAAATATGTCAATATGGTTATAACGCTCATTATGTGTGTTGCAAGCGCGAACCAGAAACCGGTTTTTCGAATACTTAGTTCTGCAAAAAGGAGTAGAGAAAACTGCATTGGAGCGAGCACTCAACCTAGGGCATCTAAATGTAATACGACTTAGAAGGAAGGGGGAATCTATATAGTTATGTAAAAGTTTAAACAGAAACACCTGATCTCTATGTTCACGTCGTAATTCTAATGAATGATGTAGCGCAGAATGATCCTTAAATTTGTAATTAAGTCTTTTCAGAAACTTATTTTGAATCCTTTCTACTTGTTCCACATAAGTAGCGTAAATAGGGTTCCACACCGTAGATGCGTATTCAAGATGACTTCTTACTAAAGAATTATACAGCATAATATAAGTGTTTATGTTTTTGAAGTCCTTGCATTGGCGGAAGACAAAACCTAACATTCTATAAGCCTTGGCAGTAGCCTTGTCAATATGAGACGCAAAGTCTAGTTTACTATCTAGATATACCCCCAGGTCCCTCACCTCGGTCACTCTTTTAATCAAAATGTTATTTAATTTATAATTGTAAACAATCGGTCGTTTTTTTCGGGAATAAGATATAGTATAACATTTATCAATATTTAATTTTAGATTATTAGCCGAACAATATTCATAAAAATTGTTTAAATCTTTTTGAAATAGTAAAGCATGTTCGAAATTCTTAACGAAGGTAAATATTTTAGTATCATCAGCGTATAGTAATGCTTTTGAATGTTGAATGCTACGCATGACACCATTTATAAATATATTAAAAAGAAGAGGACCGAGATGAGAACCCTGAGGCACACCAGAAGTGATCGGAACAAAGCTCGAGGTATAGCCCTTCACAGCTACTGCCTGAGACCTATCACGCAGATATGAGGTTAGCCATCTCAAGAGATCGCCGTGTATACCGACGTTTACAAGTTTAGCAATCATTAGATTGTGGGAAATTTTATCGAACGCTTTTGAAAAATCGGTATACACGGCGTCAACCTGATAGCCTCTTTCCATGGCCTCCAATGTTTCATCCTGAAACTCGCATAAGTTAGTTTCTGTGGATCTACCGGGGATGAAACCGTGCTGACTTGAAACTATTTGCGGTTTAATTACAGGAAATAAAGAGTCGTATATAATTTTTTCAAATAGCTTGGGTATAACAGATAGTTTGGAGATACCACGGTAGTTAGCTATATTGTGTTTGTCTCCGCTCTTAAATATGGGAACAACAATGGATTGTTTCCAAAGCAAGGGCATCACACCTTGCTTCAAAGAAATATTAAAGAGTAATGAAAGAGGAGCTGCTAAATGCTTACTGCATTGTCTGAGGAAGATTGGATGAATACCATCTGGGCCAGTACCTTTATTGATGTCGAGATTCATCAAATATTTTTCGACTTTAACGTTATCAATGTAAACAGAATTAATTATACAATTATTATTTTCCGTATCACAGTTCATAACATTCTTGCCAGGTGGCTCAAATACAGAATGAAAGAATGAGTTAAATAGATCAACAATTGTTTGACCATCTGATGCATATATATCACCAAAGTATAGAGTATCAGGTATATCACAGCTTTTTTGCTTTGATTTAACGAACGACCAAAAGTATTTTGGGTCAACTTGAATATTTCTCTCAGCGTGATTAATAAATCGTTCATAGCACAAAACTTCATATTTTTTAATATCACGCCGTGTATTTGAAAAGTTGTCATAATCACACTGTCTACCATAAATTTTCCATTTTTTATGAAGTTTAAGTTTTCTATTTATGAGTTTAATTAGACGCTTATTAAACCAGACTCGATATTTATTATTATTTCTAACGACTTTAAGTGGGACAAACCTATTTATCACATCACGCACAATTTTATAAAAGTTATCAACCGCAGTATCAATATCGTTTAGATTTAAATGGTCTTCCCAAACAAGATTTGATAGTTCTTGGTTAATTTTATTATAATCCGCGGTATGAAAACGTCGTACTATCCGGTTGGCTGGACACAGACTTGGAGTATAAACAATACTTAAGTCAATACATAAAGAGGGATGGTGGCCATCTTCCGGCGATGACAACGGCATGACTCTTTGTACAATACACTTCAAATCGGAAATCACCAAATCCAACTGTCTGTCGTTCATATTGTTAACGTGATTATATTGTGACCAGTCATTAAAGCATAAAAACGCAAACAGTTGCGATGTCAATATGTTATCATATGGATTATCAAGATACAAATTACTACCTGAAGAATGTGGATTTGGGATCCATCTAGCAACCCTTATGTTAAAATCTCCTACCAATAAAAACTTATCATTAGGATAGTCAATTTTAAGATCAGATAAATATTCATAAAACGATAACTCCGCTGCTGCTTGATAATCATTTTGGGGGAAGTATCAACAAAATAGTCTCAGCAATGATGTATGTAATATTATACACTCATTGGATTTCTTTCATTTCTCTGTCAATTCCCTACCTACATCTAACATGGTTAATTAAATTGATATTTATTTATTCAAATTAATTGAAATCATAGAATCAATATTTAATAATTTATTGAATTTAAGTTTTTTTAGTATAAGTTTTTTTTTTTGCACTTTTTAACTTTTAATTTATGTAACAGTTATTATTTTAAACTATCCTGAGGACGTATCAAATTCATTTGGTATAAAATTTAATTTCGTATGCATTTAAAGTTAGCAAATAATTGTGGTTACTTATCTGTGCTTATTTCATTTTTTCTTCATACAAGTGCTAATTAATATCATGTGGTTTATACGTACATTACACCTATTTCCTAATTTTCGGTTTAATTATTTGTTACGATATTATGATATTACTTATTTTAAAATTGCCTGGAATGAATTATAAATGTTTTATTGCTTCAGCAACAAAAATATATGGCAAAATGTACAACATATGGCAACTGCTTTGACCACACTAATTGGTCATTTGGAAAAGAAAAATATTTACTTATATTTTTTTGCGTTTTCCAGAACCATTATTTTGACGTGAAAATTGTAAAACACATAAAAACGTCTTTTAAAATTTTCGCGTTAAAATAAATTTTAGTTACTGTAAACAACTATATCATATGACAAGTATCATTATTTCAATAAATAATTATAAATTACTCTGATTTATACACTTATTATTTTGTTAAAAATGTTTTTATGCTGCATATGTGCAGTTGACACATAAAGAAACAAATTAATTTAGTACTAAGCGACAAAGAAATCAAGAGGTAAAATAATATACAATACCCTTTATTGCACACTAAGGAAACAACATTACACGGAACAAACAGAGAAAAACAGAAGGCGGTCTTACCATTGGTCAACGAAGCAGTTGCTAGTACAATAATCACAAAATTAATCGACATGTTGAATAAAAAAATATATAACTCCAGCACTTTATGAATCTGTAGCACTGATCTTCGTGGGGAACACGACTGACTGTCGCGCTAACTCGAAACAGTTATGATAATTTAAAGTCTCGGACACACTATTTGTATAATATGCCCAACATTAAAATAGTTAATCATAGAAATAGGTATAATTAAAGTAAAACTACAGCGGTTAGAGACATACCTTTTCGCCTCTCTCGTTTTTTTATATTAAGGAGGTAATAATAAAATATAGTACACATTTTAACCCGCTGCTGGTGGGTACGAGTAGCTGCTTTTGTTACACGATTATTTGTTAGATAGATAGATTTTAGGTTAGAAGTAGATTTTGATCTTGATAGTACATAAAAGTGGTATTTATTATATACGTGGTATTACAAAACTAACCGTGAAGCGGAAAGAAGGTTAAATGGGACCTTGAAAAATTTTAAAAGACCTAACCTAACGGAACAACCTAAAGCAACACTTACTTTTTCATAATAACTAAATACGTGGTAGAGCCATGCTGCAGCTATATTAGTAGTATAGTTGTAGCACGAATGGGTCGGCTCGACCGGGGAAGGACCACACTCTCACAAAATACCAGCGTCAAATAGCATTTTAATTCACAACCGAAAATAGATGCATATGTCTATGGGACACAGCAACCACTTACCATCACGTGGACTGTGTGCTCGTTTGTCACCGTAATTCTATAAAAAAATCCAGCAAATAGGCATAAATGGTATGGTTCATACACTCTCAATGCTAGCACTGTACATGCACGCACTAACACACGCACGTACTCACTCACTTACGTACGCTTGCACACATCCACTCTCTCCCTCACACACACACACACACACACACACACACACACACACACACACACACACACACACACACACACACACACACACACACACACACACACACACACACACACACACACACACACACACACACACACACACACACACACACACACAAGCACACATACACTCTCTCACACGCACACACGCACACGCACACACACTCTCTCTATCTCTCTCTCTCTCTCACACACACACACACACACACACACACACACACACACACGCACGCACGCACGCACACACACGCACACACTCTCTCACACGCACACACGCACAAGCGCGCACACACTCTCACACACACACACACACACACACATGCACACACACACATTATTTTATTTTTCTGTATGTATTACTACACTATAAATGTTTTGTTATTACTACACTATAAATGTATTACTGGTACATGGAATTTTGACAGATTTGTTCATTTTATTTTACTTTTATTTTATTTATAATTTTTTTTCCTGCTGTTTATTGTCATCTGCCGCATACTCCTGGCTCCACTGAAAATCAGCGTATGTATATCTTCAATTCGTGACTTGCTGAGTGGAGACCATTTTGGTGCATATTACGTTTATTTTATTCCTTTTTTTAATATTTTTGTTAAGTTAAAAAAATTGTTCTATTTGATTAGTTTTTTGTATGTTATAATTTATGTGCCAAATAAACTTATTTCTTTCTTTCTTTCATATTAATTTGAACTTTTACAGGTTAATTAAGAAAGAAAGAAGAAAGATGTGTGCGTGAGTACGTGTCAAGAGTGTGAACAAGGCTTATAAGCACAGGTTTGAGCATCACTTGAAATGTACGCAGCGCTCCGTCTATCTTTTTTTTGTTGGTCTGAGTAAACAGTGGAAAATTTTGTAAACAAATTATTTTCGATACTTGACAGTGGCAAAGGTAATAGCGTACTAACCGGCAACCGTACGGGACCATGACCAAAGAGAAATCCCGTTAAATTATTTTTATTCGTGAAGCATGTGGTAAACAAAATCATAAAATTGCAAGCAATATTTAAATTGAACTGTACGTACTAGTTTATATGTACAATGCATTATTTATCAATATACATATAAATCAAATTGAATATGTATAATGACAAATACAGATGCGAGGTTATTTGCTTGCCATTAACATATAAACAATTTTAAATTTTTCGTGTAACTGTCCGTCCGGGCTGATCTTCGGAATGTCTGAACCGATTGTAATGAGACTTCAGGAGCAGTTAGAGATCAATGTCAGGAGTGATCTAAGCAATGTTTTATCCGTAAAACTTTTTTTCGATAAATCGAAAAATTTATAAAATTAAAAAAGAAACGTGCGTGAGTGTCGTGGAACACTCAGTTGGAACTATGTTTCTTTCGTAGTATATTATTATTGACAAACGTATTATATATTGATTAACAAATACAAATAAATGAATTACTAGCTGAATTATTAAAATAATATTTCTTCCATGGCAAGATAAGAAAAAGTGCGAGGGAGATAGGTATTATTCTACGTCAGAAGGGGTCGTGACGGAAAAGTTTTACACTTATTCTCGCCTCCATTCCATCCGTCAAATTCGTACCGTCCGATAAGGAACTTCGTTCCAATAAATGGTCTTTGATGATTATCTTAAATGTAAATGGGTGAATATTTGAAGATAGACATATTCAGGGATCGTTAATTAATTTCAAATAATGCTTCCAATCATCTTTTTTATGGATTTAACGTAAAGTTTATAGTGCAGATTAACGAAATAAATCAAACGCACAGTATTTGAACTGCTATATAGGCCTGAATCTGGAGCTGAAAATTTTCACTAAACGGTGATGAGATATGAAACAAACGGTAATTAGTATTTTAAAAATGGTAATTATGCTACGTGATTGGTAATTATAAATAAAATGAATGATGTACTTAAATCACATATTTATTTATTACATGACTTAATTTAAAAAAAATTCGAATATCCACCGGTTTTCCTAAAAATTTAATTAGGTCAGTAAAAATTAATGTAAAAATTACTTAAAATAAAATCAACTAAAACATTAGTTTAAAACTCAGTGTAAATAGAACTCAGAGTTATACAAGTTCCATCTAAGATATTTCTTAAATTCTATGAAATCTTATAAAAAAGCTTAAAAACAGATTTATACTTAAATCCGAATGAGTTTCTATTTCATAACCAGAAACCGAGCATGTACTTAATCATAAAGTCTTAAGTAGATCTGCAAGATAAACCGTCGTGTTTATAAACAGGAAAATACAAAACATTAGATGTTTCTATCAAATTTTGGTAAATATAACCTAGACTTAATTTTAAAAATTAAGGAAAATAAAAACAAAATGAACAGGTTTTCAAAATAAAAACAATTGTAATTATCTTTCTAGTAATCTTAATGAAATCAACTAAAACACTACTTCAAACCTCTTTATAAATAGAACTCATCACTATACCGGTTTCATCTAAAATATTTCTTAAATGCGATGAGATCAGTTACAATAACTATAAAATATTTAAAATTGAATTTGAATCCGTATCACTTTCACGACCAAGAACTTCGCAGGTAGTCTCAAATGCAGTCTTTTGTGGATCAGCTAGATCATCACACAGGAATGATCCGAGAACATTAAGCTGGCCATCAATTATTTAATTTGCGTTTAATTGTAATGTAGATTGAACATAGTCTTGAAATACATCCAAAAAAATTCATATCATTGCCACTGCCAGAAATTCCACATACTCAACTTGTATATTAGGGTCCAAGTTTAGTTCATCATCAGGTTTCAAATCAGACAGCATTTTAAGGGTGGTTTCGTCTCCTTTGCGGTTTGACTTTAGTAAAACGTTACTTAAGATTTTAATATTCCTTTTATTCTGTGTAATTTTAGGTTTTACGTTTTAGGTCGCATCAGTCATATTGTGATTTTCATTCTCTTTATTTCTAATAAGTGTAGATTCTTTTGTGTCTTCATAACATAATTTTCTGACAAATTTAGTATGTTCACAGTCCACATCTAAGCATATAAGTAACTGTTTTCTCTGAATATCAGGTGGTCCTTTTCTTTCTGCCACAGTATTTGATGAACTTTCAATGTACCTTTCAATAGTTTTAGCTATTCTGAAGATATCAATACATCTTTTTCTATTGTATGGTATTCTTTCACAGTTACCAGCTTAAGTTTTTGTGTGTTTTGTCTTACGATTTTCAAAAATCCATCTAATTTAGCAACAATTCTACCTTACGCTGCAGCAGCAGTGCATTCAACAACTCCTATTTCTCCTGTGTCATTTTTCAACTAACAATGTTTCCTCCTTCGACTTACTCAAAAATAAAATAAGTTAGTGATGGGGGGGGGGGGGGGGGTAGTCAGTCTGTAGGTTTATTTTATTGCGGAAGTGGTGTCAGTTCACATCAAACGAGCAATAATTGATCACGCTTTGGTAGTAACACAATTCGACCTTGGGCTGGCCTAGCGGAGTAAGGAGTTTCAATATGATAAGAGGCCAACTTATACTGGTACTAATTACCATTTTCGATTTCTCATTACCGTTCCGCCAAAATACGAACGGGAAGAATGGTAATTGTACAAACGGTAATTAGATATTTGTACACTTTCTTACATTATCCGTTCTTTATAGAACTTATTAACTCGGGAACTTAATCAAAGCAAAGAGTATTCTATGGCGACTATTGACAGTGCATAAAAATGATAAATAATAATAATAGACTTACCACGGGAAACTCGAACGGTAAGGAGATTTTTGTTTGCTAAACATGATTTCTGGGCGATTAAGGTAGGCTATAGTTGGCGCCAAAAGACTCTACGTCGTATGACCCGCACGGGTCGTGGGGCAAAACTGAGCGCGACCGCTAGGTTACCCTTTCAGAGACCAATACATACGCGGAAAAGAAATAACCCAGCGACTGTGTGGACAAATGGTAGTGAGTATAAAGTGTTGGGACAATTTTCAAAGTCGTTACAAATTACTTAAAAGTGTTCTTTAATGTGTGTAGTTTTGCTAATTAGTAAAGCATGTAGTGTACTATCTAAATTACTACAAAAATATACGATCTTCGGGGTTTATTTACAACTTTTCGAGCATGAACTGCTAAAATTTGGAAATTGGGACACGAATGGTGATGAGATTTGAGGAACGTTTATGAATATAACTCAGTTGTTTATTACAATAGGAAAATGTT